TCAGCCGCTCTAAGACACCCGAGTCGGCTCCGTCCGCCGCCCCAGGATGGCTCACGCCGGAGGCCAAGGACAGCGCTGCTGGAGCCGGGCTTTGCTGCGCCTGCCATCATCGCCCTCAGAACTCTACCTTAGCTACAAATGTAATGCATCCTGAGGGCGTGCAGAAGGGAAAGGAACGTATTTTTCTAAAAGTATTTTAATTGCCAGGAAAAAATATGCAGAAGGACCGAGGCCTTCTTCCCTTACATTTCTCCTCCTTCAAGAAAAATTTGCCTACATTACAAACCCCATTTTCTAGGATTTCTGAGCCATACCTGCCCAGCGCATTATGCCACGCTCATGATGAAAACCGTAATTAAGCTACTGTTTAGAACAAGCTGGGATTGGAAGTCCCAGTGCCGGGCAGCAGCAAACAGCACTGAAACGCTGCACAATGAGCTGGATGGGCCCAGCCCTGCCCCAGTGCAAGTACTGCACTATGTCACACACCAAGGCAGGCGTCCTATTACTGCTCTCATCACCTTCATTTTACTTGAAGACTCTTACACAGAGCTCTCATGTAAGTGCTGTGGAATGGTAACTATCAACTCAAGTATCCCTAAGAAGTGTTTCACCCTGCAAAACAGAATTCAGTTTTATGTTTAAAAAAACACTTAAAAACCCCTCTAGGATAAAACATCACTCACTATCATTTAAAAGCAAGCATTTCTGTAATGTGAAGGTGACAGCTTACAAAAGCTATGAGAAATGTTGATTGTTCAGCACCTCCAAAGGAGGTACAAATATTTAGGTGTAAATAAAACTATGTCCTAGAATTCAATCCCATAATTCCCTTTAACATATATCCTTATAGAAACCCCCACACAAAAACCACGCTGACACTCCCTTTAGAATTTGGGGTTTAAAATCTGTATAGATGGAAAAACCATGAATCACTGTCTTTATACACCTGCTTCTCTTAAAGCACAAAACTATGAGCTGTGACAGGGTGCTGAGAGCATAGCACAGCATCCAGTATATAGGAAGCACCTAGAGTGGCCCAAGCCCTCAGCATTCTGTGATCACCCAGTCCTGCAGCTAAACAGTGGGGTTAAGGAATAGCATGGCAGAGTTGACAGAAGATCCACTGTAAATCAGTACTAAAGACACTGTCTACTCCAGCCACAACAGGAAGAAACCCTTATGTTAAAGTGGAGCTGGACAAATTCAGGACCCTAATGCCTAACTTTTCCAAGCAAACTGTTGCTGAAGCTATAAAGGTTCAAGATGAGTGGTTTGTAGCAAAATAGGCAGATTTCATGGGTCAGATATAATTCCAGGCCAGGTGGATGAACTCAGGCCATAAAGGAACAATTATGGGCACCTGGGCACTTGGGCCAAAGCAGACCTGGCCAGAGCTGAACTTGCTCATTAGCCTTTTCATACCACTGCTGTCCACACAGCTCTGCTGTCAGCTGCAAGCTACACACTGCAAGGCTCTGTGACTCATAAGTGCTTCCTACTGGTTATACGAACTTCACTTTAGAGGGCATCTAGACCTGGAAGAGATCAAAGTCAACTCCCAGTAAGGGCAAACACAGTAGAAGGCTCCCAAGGACTGGCATTTGCCAATCTGTTTCTGTCATTTTACAGTATAGAGTGACACCCCAACTCCCAGCACTAAATTAAATAAAACCGTTAAATGCCTTGGCCACAAGCAGTACTGCCTACATAAACAGGCACAGGTGAGCAATGTTTGTGCACAAGATACATAAATGACCAGCAGTCCTAGCTCTGCAGTCTTAACTTTGCCCCACAGGTACTATGCCATTTAGAAAAATGGCAAAGTTCATTTCATTAGCTATAATTCAGCCTTCTCAAACCAACAGAAGACAACTAACACAGTACGTGTCACTGATATATTTCACTGCAATTAGCAACTGAACATTAAAGAACAAGTGTTAACATATGCCAGTGAACTAGAGAAGATTCCTTCCCCAGCAGAACTGATGGAAATGTAGCACTTGAACAACTTTCAAATTTCATAGTGTATCACTGTTGGTGGCTTTTTATTGGGGTCTCCTCCTCTCTCCAGATACAGGTCATTGAAGGGATATTGCTTCGGTCCCTACAAGGAGAGACAAAGAGTGGCAAATTCACCACATTCACCAAACAAATTAACAGGTAAGAGGAAAATGTCTCATCCCATCCCACCCCCACCCAAATGAAAGCTTGTAATTTATGACCTAAATTTCTGTTTCTTACATGCTTCAGCTAGAATATTAGAGTATGAGGAAAGTAAATTCAGAAATAGGGGATTCCTTGCATAAATGATTTAACAGAAACATCAATGCTTTTAATCTTAATCAAGAGTTTATCTCACAGCATGAGGATAATTTATTGCAAAAGCTGATTGTGTATTCAGTCAGTTTTCAAGAGTACATTCCCCAAATGATACAGCTCATGAGATACAATTAAAAACACAAGGGCAAGAGAAGAGTTAAAGCATCTCACTTGAGTAGATGCCCACACAAGGAAGGAGAGTGCCTAGAGCAAATACGGGATACTGTAAGCAGCATAGTTCAAATTAGTTCCCTGTGAACAGGGACTGATCACTATGAAGCAGCATCTGAGAGTTGAGCCAGGCCAGTCAAGAGAACAATTCAGACTAGATGAGGCCACAGGACATTGCTTGACCCATCCACTACCAGCAGCAGTTTTGCATTCACACACATCACTCATTTTCAGCAAAACCACTCTTACAGGCATTGGCAATGAGAAGAAATGCAGCTACTTTTCCTCCCTTTACCCTTAGGTTTCACTCACCACAGGCCTGTAGGATGGGTAGATCTCTCCGAGAACAAACATGATCAGCATTGTGCTCAAAAAGATAAAGAAGTGTTTCCTCATGGTGTGCCAGGGAACGACAGTGGGGGAGGTATCAACCCGGTTCCGAATGTACATGTCAAAGTCCCAGTGCATCTAAAGAACAAAGGAAAACAATTGCACATTTATAAAGTGGTCAAGCCACTTTTCTCAAGGGAAGCAGCACATTACAGCAT